AGTCCTCGCCCAGATCGAGAACGCACCCGACCTCAACACCGTCGCGCCAGGAGGCGACGCGGCGACGAACACAGCCGAGACCTCCGCCGCCGAGACCACACAAGCAGCGACAACGAACGCTGACGAGACTGCTGCCACATCACAAGCCGCCACCACGGAAACCACCGAGGCGGCAACCACTGCAGATGCGCCCACCAGCGCCGCCGCCCAGACAGGGTCCACAAGTGTCTTCAACCTGGTAGGCGCGCCAACACTGGCTGGTATCGGTATCCCAGACATCAAGGTTCCCGACACAGCCGGTGCTGCCTTTATGCAGAAGTCGGATCTCCCCGATGGAACTGTCTTCATATGTGTTGGTGCTATCCTCGCCTTTTTCGGTGCGGCAGTGCTGGCGTGGCGCGGTCTCGTTGCGTGGTCGTTGCATCGTTCCGTGAAGCGGGCGGCCATGGCCCAAAACCTCGCTGATATCAAGGCCATGTCAGCAGTGCCTGGCAAGAAACGGGGAATGTACAATGTAGTAGGAGCAAGTTCGACCATGTCCCTGGATCACCTAAACGCCGCCCCCATTGGCAAGTCAAACAAGGCCTTCAAGGGCGCGGCTGCCAATACAGCACAGCAATCGCAATCGTCTCTCTTCTTCTCCCCAACCGCAGGTGGCGCAGCCGGTATGCGAGATTCAGTCCACGTAGCAGGCAACCGATCCTCCACCTACCTGCCCGCGGGATACTACGCTTCTGGCAACGCAGCACCCGCAGCCGGATCACCACAAATGCACATTGGCAGCCAGAACCCCAACAATCTTTCTGCCCTCTCCCTCTCCACACCCGGAAACCGTTTCAGCGCGAGATCCGGCATGTCGCCACCAGAATCGCCGTCACTCCCTCCATCGCGAGGAGGCTACGCCCGCGCCCCACCATCACGAGACGGCCTGTCCAATTACAACCGCAACAGCGTCGCAACCCTCGGCCACCAACCCGGCACCACAAGAAGCCCCGTCTACGGCCAGGACAACAACACCGTCAGCCAATTATCGCTCAATGTACCGGGTGGCACAACTGTGCCTGGTGGCCGCACGCCGAGTGGATACCTAGACGACCTCTTTGAAAACCACGGCAACGGATCCAGAGAACGATTCTAGTTGGATCTTGAACAGCAGCCCGCAAAGCAGCGTGTCGTGAGCGCAGGAACTTGTTCGCTGAAAAGCAGCTCGACGGCCGGTTATCGGTTCGAGTATAAGCTGGGTGTGATGGCGAGCGCTAGAGCCGTGTCTGCGAGCACTCTATCCATAATAGAAGATTACTACCGGGTATGAGTTGTGCGATAAGACCGGAATGGCAAAAACGCGTTCTCGAGGTTGTTGTTGTTGAAAGTCAGAGAAAGAGAGAGAGGAAAGGAAGAAGCCAGAAAAGAGCGGTGTCTTGTCTTGTTGAATATCCTCTTTGCTCATGCATGCCCCGTTTTCGCGTGTGCACGATTTTTTCTCGTTTTCTTGCTTTTGGGATTCACGGCCGCAAGCTTGTGATACCAACATTATGCCGGGTTTGGCTTTTCTTCTTCGTTTTTCCGCATTGCCATTCGACTCTGTGGTACTGTCGGCGGATTCGTTCGCCGAGTTCACTCAATCTGCGGTCTTTTACTATCTTCTCTTCTTTTATTATCATGGTTTCTCTTGTTACGAATGTAGGGTAGTGAAGCTCCTCCGTTATTACTGGAGTTAGACAGGCGTTCAAAGAATCTGCGAAGGGGAGCGTGCATTGGTCCCAAGTCGTTTAGCTTTGGCACGTTTCGAGCGAAGAGAGAGTGGTATCTACTATTGTAGATGGAGATTTTGCATATTAGACCCCATAATGAAGTACTATTAAGCAAGAAAGCGACCGAGGTGTTGGTTCAGTGTGGTGACAGTGGTGATGAGGAACGAAGGAAGCGGCGTGTGAATGTGTGATACGGTACAGCCGGTACTGCGTAGCGCTGGCGCTGGGGCTATCGTGCGGAGTTTGTGGAGTACAACATGCGATATGACGTCCCGGTGTGTACATCGTGTGCTTTGCTAATGCGTATTCCGTTTAGCTGTGTGGATGCACGGTTAGTACGGGTAGCATCACCCAGATCACGGACGAGAGAATAGGGAAGCAAGGGGTGTTGACAGTGTCAAAAGCCAGTTTTGATGCGAAGCACACCTTATCACCTCATACAAGGAAAAACCTAAACAGGTCTGCAGACTACATTAACATGAGCACATGCAAAGTGGGTGTGTTAACATCAATGTAGACCCAAAGGTGTTCACTTTTTCCCTAGGTTGACGTGTTATAGTTCATCTATATCTTACACAAATGCATAGTCCAGTACCCTTTTTGTCTATCTACCACCAAACATCGATGCTAAATTTTGCCAACGCTACGGCGTTGTAGTGTGTGTGTGCATACGGCTACCTTGCCTTCTTGGCCATGGCCTTGCGTTTCCTCGCTTCGCCATTGAGGTTGGGCGCGGTGGCGTTCTGGATGGCGGCCTCTTCTTCAGTCAGGTTGGATGTCTCGACCAGTGGCTTGTCAAGCAATTCCTTCTTTCCGAGGATGCGTCCGGCGGTTTGGTTGTAGGCGAACATGGGGAGCTTGAATAGGAGGGTGTCGTAGATGGTGGGCTGGGGCTCCTCATCGGGCTGGACGTTGTTAGTGAATGCACTGTGTTGGGGATATGGATATACGTACGTCGACAAGGTATTCGCCCTTCATGCCATCCTCGTTCTCGACTTCCAAAAAGACATTGCCGACGGAGTCAACGACCAGAATCTTGCCGTTCTCAGAGACGATACGCTTCTTGGCTCCCTGGGGACCGGAGATGACCTCTGCCTCGACTGGGGTGCTGATGCCATCGTCGCGCGCCTTCTTGGCAGCTTGTGCCTTCTTGGGTTTCTTCGCATCCTTCTCCATGGCGCGTCGCTCGCGACGGTTGCGTGGGCCAACCTCCTCAGGGGTCTCTTCGGGGGTTTCGTTCTCGAACTGCTGGGCATTCACAGGTGCGGCGCCGGCGTCAACTCCAGGAATGCCCTGGAGACCGCTCTCGTCACCCCAAGCAGTCTTGCGCGCCTGGCGGACGAACCTCTCGGCGTAGTCCCTGCGGCGCTTCCATCCCATGACCAGGGCGAAGTAGTGGAAGCCTCCACCGAGAACGACAAGTAGACCAAAGATGACGGAACCGAGGCCAGGGCGGAAGCGCTCGTAGTAGTAGCCTGAGCCCCTCCATGCTGGGAAACCGTTCCTCAGGAAGTGATCGTAACGCTCGCGCTCAGGGCCCTTGAGCAGCTTTCCCACGACCGAGAGACGCTGGTAGGCGGCGGTGACCTTCTTCAGGTGCGCGTCGGTCTCCTTCTTGGACGGCTTCTTTCCCGCTGGGTTGGTCTTCGCATATTCGGTGACAAAGTTCTTGCGGGCCTTGTCCGGGTGGAGTTCGCGCGACTTCTTGCGGAGGGCCTTGGTCAATTGGTCTTGGGACGCGCTGGGCTTGACGCCGAGGAGATCGTAAAACGTGATGTTGGCGCCGTCTGCTTTGGCGACTTCGTCACGGATGCGGAAGATTTCGTGGTCTGCAGTGCGCTGTCAGCAAGTAGCTCGCAGTTGCACATGAGCTGGAGCTGGGGAAATGCATGTGGGGAAGGCGCATATGTGGCCGCAAGCATGCACTTGAAGACGCCATGCAATTGGAATACGCACCCTCTTTGGTCCAGGCAGCGGCGAATGCTGCAAAGAGGCACAAGACCAATGCGAGCAACGCGTGAGATCTCATGGCTGGGGTGGATGAAGTTTGGCTGGTCTGCGAGCAAGTGATAGGGAGGCTGCAGGCTTGTGCCGCCAGATGTCCAGTAGTGCCGCGAGCCCGCTCGAGTGACGGAACGTGGCCCAATTAGTCTGACCGCTGGAGACGGGACACAGGTGTAGCAGGCCTGCGCGATAAAGAGGCTCTCTTCACGGTGCAGTCACTCTCCGCTTTCACTCCAAGTCTCTGCAATTGAATCAAAAATGTGGCCTCTTCACGACTTGCATGTGAGACGCGGCTGAGCGTGTGGCTGTGGCTGTGGGCAGGCGCGACCCTGAACTACGGGATTCGCGGCAGGGGCCAACAAAAGTTCCCATACGGTCAGCGACACGCAACCTCCTCAACAACTCGACTTGCACTCCATCTACACTCACTTCAGCCGCGTCAGCGCATTCACTCTCTCGCGACTCTTTCCCATCTACGTAAGGCAGCCATCTACTACATACAATTCCACCTCCCTCCCCTCTAGAGGACACATCTCCAGCCTTCCCTCGACTTCCACCACTATCAGCAGCTGAACTGACCATGACTTCCCCTAAAGATCTCGAAGAACAACAGCAGACCCTCATTACCCCCGACCAGCGTCAACAAACACCACCCCCCGAAATCACGACCCACACGCCTTCCGTCATGTCTCGCTTCAGCATCCCCATCGATGCCCTGACATCCCGGATGAACTTGGGCGGACGCTTCGACAGCATCCGCTCCACTTCAGTCTCGTCGCGATTCGCCAACCTGCGACCCATCTCCGAGTTCTTCGACTTCAAGCGCATCTCCAAGCCCGCCAACTTCAGCGAGGTTCAGAGCAGGGTCAACTACAACTTGGGCTACTTCTCGAGCAACTATGCCGCTGTCTTCGTCATGCTCAGCATCTACAGCCTGCTCACCAACTTGATGCTACTCTTTGTCATCATCCTTGTGGTCGGTGGTATGTTTGGAATCGGCAAGCTAGAGGGCAATGATCTCCAGCTCGGTAGCTGGCGCGCGAGCACCTCGCAGCTGTACACTACGCTCTTCGTCATTGCGATTCCCCTCGGACTCTGGGCCTCGCCCTTTTCCACTGTTCTCTGGCTCATCGGCGCAACTGGCGTCACCGTCGTGGGCCACGCTGCATTTTTGGACAAGCCCATCGAGTCAGCTTTTTCCGAGGAGGCGGTCTAGGTGGTCGGCCGCGAACTCCTCCTTACACTATGCCCCGCTGGGGAAGACCACCAGGGGGCTCGTCGGGTGTGGGGAGATACTACGAGGGGGGACAGAACGACGTGCATAGGTTTCAAGAATTGGATAGCGACGATGAGAAGGGTGGCGTTGTATTAGATCAGGCGTTTCAGCCGGCTTTGAACGGCAAGAGCATCAATCCGGATGAGCTTTACTTTAATGATATGGATATTAGTGCCTGGGAGGGCAGGGCAGCAGCTTTGGGTGAGGCAACATACCAGGACCATGGTCATCAACAGCGTTACGACGAATATCCTGGTAGTATGGGCAGCAACTACAATTCGGCCGAATATGAGGAGATACTTTTCCGTCGAGTACTCGACAAGATTCGCATACAAAGAGCAGCAGGCTATACCGATGTGCAGCTTACTGCAGAGGAGCTAGACGCGTATCATGCACGATTTCTTGGCCCAAGGACGACGGATGTTCGCCCTGAAGCCCAGTCTCGACCGAGCAGTGCTTACTACCCCAACGACCCTGCAAATGTGGTCAGAGACGATGCAATTAGCAAGCACGGCAGTTCCTCCAGATCGAAGAAAGATCAGAAGCGAAGTTCGCTCTTTGGATCAAAGTCGAAGGAGAAGCCCAGCAGTCGCAAACGTACATCTACTGTATCAACCACAGATAGCCGTGCACCGCCACCCGGCTTCGTCATACCTGGCCCAGATGGACAGCCTATGTATGCGCCCATCAATGCTTACCAGGGTAGCCTGGAACGGGAACGGGAATCTCCACGTCCAGCGTCCCGTTCCGCGTCTGATGCTAGTCACTACATCCCTTCGCCATCGCACGCCAGCTTTCCTCGCGAAATGCTCGGCGCGTTCCCAGAGTCTGTGGTTGATTACCGTCCCACCACCCCTCCACGGCAAGGTCGTTCTATATCCTCTCGACAGGCTGCATACGAGGCTGATCTCCCACACGGGTCACGCACAAGATCGTCTTCTATTCAATCCGCCGGGCTTGTTCCGTTCCCTGTGGAGCCCTACCAGTACCACAACTTCAGTCCTACATCCTCTACATCACCGACTTCGCCTCAACCGCAATATACACGGAGTGTAAGTTCGGCCGTGTCTGAAGCTAGCTACACATCAGTGCCACGACGTGTTCCTGTCCCTGCTGCTGCATCGGCATCGCTTCAACGAGCGGCACCTGCAGCACGTAGCCATGTCAGCCAGTCGGACCCGGCTTTGGCTGCGCAAGCAACAAGCTCTGCTACTCCAGCTCAACCTCAGGAAGCTGCTAGAGGAAGTGGCCATGGAGCTGAGAGGCGGCGGAAGAGCGGTAAAAGTAGGAAGAAAGGTTGAAGCATCTCGATGTAGTTGTACATGGCACAAATCCCCCGCTCTCCAATCTGACACTTCTGATCCAATTGATTCTTGCTTTCGTAGACATTGCATACAAGATAGTGGCCTCGAAGACGGCCACGTATGTAGTGGGCCCTTGATATTCCTGTTGTACTGATAAATATATGTATTGCTTGCTCCACTGAGGTGTGTTGTTCGATAACAGTCATTCGATCTGACTCTTAATCAGTCAAACGTGTCTCGAACTGGGCAAGGAGCGCATGCAGGAACGGGTCTGTCCCCTCAATCCAGCCCTTAGCACGATTTGTTGAATGCCATATTGCGTGTGCTGCATCTGCATCTTGCAGCTGCATCTGCGGTCTCGAACACTTGCAACGGTTTTCTAGACACTTATGCGACAAGGGTACGCGCACAACGGCCGTTGCATAACGGCTGTTTCGATCGCGATCACGTCAAAAGTCACGGGTAGCCATCAAAGAATAACCAATATTGATGAAAGAAGTTCTGGTCACCTGTGTTGCACTCGTCTCGCGTAGAGACGAATAATCTCCGTGATTTTCATGGTTCACGCACATCATCGCACAGTGCACAAGTGGGATCTGAGACGGCATAAATCGGAGGTGCAGTGGGTGGCGGTACCTGCAGGGCTACGCCGGCACGCCCAACCACCAAAAAGCGGTCAGTTAGTCTGCGACGATCATTCCTCTGCTTGCTCCACAAGTTCGCGCACATCTTTAAGCTGGCCAAAGTTCCTTCCCTCATCAGCGAATTCCCCAACCGTGCCATCTTTTGTGGTCTTTTTCTACCCGTCGACGTGTTCCTTACTAGTCCTTGACTCATTTTACCCACGTTTCCCCGTCGGAGTCGTCGTTGCGCACGGTGGCCTGTGTTGTCATAGTGTGAGAAAGTTGGGTTGCTATAGCCTCGAATTTAGTTGGCTAGTAGGGCGCGCGCGCGCATCAGGCCAAGGCAGGGTCAAGGAAGCAGGGAAAACCTGAGCTGAAGTGAGGCAAAAGAGGAGGCGATTGAAGCCCAAGAGACCCACATCCCTTCACCGGTTGTGTGTTTGCGACAGCTCTCTTCTAGTCCACTGGATACTGTTGCGCTGGCTTCAAGACTCACAGTCATAGAGTCGTTGTTGTCGCTAGACCTCATTTCCGCAGATCAACAGCATCTTGCGCTGAATGCGCTGGGCGGATCAATACACTTTACACCACCGCATCCCGGCTTCTGTCGCTCGCGCGCATTCATCCCGTCGCTCATCAACATCAAGCCTCGGAGTACCAACAACACCCCTTTCAGCCTCCATACACCCTAAACCAACACTACTCCTCCCCTCCTCAACCCACACCCACACCCCACGCCCCACCACCATGGGCTACGGCAGCAGCTCCTGGAACCCCTTCTCAACAGGGGGCTCACCCTCGCGACGCTCCTCATCCGGATACCGCCCTGGCTACGCCTCGTCGTCGTACTCGGCGTCGTCGCGCCACCACAGCTCCACGTCGCGCTACAAGCGCTCACCCCGCGACAGCTACATGCAACACCTGTACAAGAAACTGCAACACTTCCTCCGCGAAATCTGGCGCTACGCCCAACGCCACCCCTACAAAGTCTTCTTCATGGTCATCATGCCCCTCGTCTCCGGCGGCGTCTTGCACAAACTCGCCCGTCAGTTCGGCGTCAACCTACCTGAGATGGGGGGGCCGGGTGCGAGAGGCGGGTACGCTGGCTCAGGGCACACCAACACCAACTACAATACCAGGGGTGCCAGCAGCAGCGGCGGCTACTACGGCAGCCAAGGCTACGACTACTCCAACACCCGGAGCGCCCCGAGTAACGGCGGCGGAGGCATGATGGCCGGTCTCGGCAACATCGACATGCAGAGCGTCTCTTCTGGCATCGGCGGTCTGGCTAGTCTGGCGAGTATGGCAAGCAAGTTCATGTAAAGAGTTGAAGAGGAGCTGACTCGAGCTTCCTCTTCTAGGAACGGTCGAGAACGTCCTTACTATTACGAGGGTGGTTGGGAATCTGACAAGAGGGGGAAGTGATTGGTGACATGAGGGGCAGAGGAGTGATCCTCTGCAACAACAGGCTTTGCCGCAGATTATGAGTGAAGAGATGGCGAGGAAGTGGGAGTATTGGAAGGGGCTGTGATGGGGGAAAAAGGCGGTACTTTTTGTTATGCTCCTTGGGCTTTTTCTTATTGCACGACGTTACGACGGCGCGATGTGGGGGACGTTTGACGACGTTTTCTCCTGTTCTTTTCCGTTACGGCTTGTTTAGCTTTCTTTTTTTTTACCGTTAGAGATATCCCTCCTTTGCGTAGGCTTGGCCCTACCTGGCGTTCAGATGCAAATCAAAACTTGCTCTTTGTATACCTCACTACTCACCATGCGTGCACCTGATTACTATCATCAAGCCTGTAAAGTTCGTTTAGTAGATTATCCAATCTAAACCAACAGTGAAAAAGCACCCGAAACAACTCCAAGGATATCGTCACTCATACAGTCCACACAACCCATCCCCCTCATCCCCGCTCACCCAGAAACCACATTAGCAAAAACCTTCGCCGCCAACCCACTCAACAACCTCGCCTTATCCGCCTGCGGCATCTCCTGAAACACCGCATAAACACTCTTCCCCTTCGTATCCCTCACAGCCCCGAGTCTATTCCCCGCGACCGCCCCCGCAACCATCCCCGGGAAGTTGGCCACAATAAACCCCATAGCCCCTCCACTCAACCCGCCGACTATACTCCAAAACTTTGACGTCGGATGCGCGTCCTGATCCGCCATCCCCTCTTCCCTAAGCATCTCCTCGAAGATACCACCGAATTGCTCTTCAGAGAACCGGTTGTGGGATTCCTCTGTGTTGCCGGCGGGTGCGCTGCCGAAACCAAAGGCGGACCAGGGGAAGCCTTGGGCGAAGCCGCCGCCTGTGCCTGCGCCCGCACCCGCATTTCCTGGGACGTCTTCTTCGAAATCAGAGTCCGGTGTCGCGGTACTGCCCGTGAAACTATTGTAGGTGCGTGCGGCGTCGTAGTCGCGGCGCCGTGTCGCGTCTGAGAGCGTGTAGTAGGCGTCGTTGATTTGCTGGAAGCGCTTTGTGCGGCTTGCGCGCTCGGGGGAGTCGGAGGGGACGCGGTCGGGGTGGTGCTTTAGCGCTGCTCTGTGGGGGGAGTATTAGAGGTTGAGCGGAGAGAAAGGTTTGTGGGTAGGTGAGGTGGTACTTTTTGTAGGCATCGCGGATTTGCTGTTGGGAAGCTTTTGAGTCGACCTCGAGGGTTTTGTCTATGGTGTTGTATGAGCTTTCGGGTAGGAGGTAAAGGTTTGTGTGCGCATACAGTAGTCTGGTTGGGGAGCTGCGTGGTGTTAGTTGGATGTTATCGCTAGGCTGCTGTGTATCTCACCCATGATGTTGGCTGGTTTCGGAGATTGGAATTCGAGCTCGAGAGTATTGTTTAGATTGAGTGTTGGGAAGGCGATCGAGGCAGCTAGCAGACTTCAGGTAGGTGAGGATGTAGGGTGTAAGTTGTGGGTATAGTGGTGCGAAGTTCAGGGACAGGTACGCGGGTCGGAGCAATGACGTAGACGCGAGAGGTCTAGCCACAGTAGCTTCACGTTTGCACGTGAAAAAGCAACCCTGAAACCATGTGCTTGGGTATTCCTGCAGATCATGTGCTATACACGGACGCATCGCAGGGATTCAAGGTTTCGTCTGCATCGTTTCAGTTGGAGACATCGTTAGGTACATAGAATGGAATAATAATTAGTGTTAAGCCGATGCAGCGCACGTCCTAGCTAGGTATCATACAACAAACCTCGATCAACCCCCCCTCAATCTCAGCCTTCCAATGCCTCCAAACCATTTCTCCAAGCCATCTCTCCAATCATATCCAACCGCACAATCCCTCCGGACCAAAAGTATCAACAAAGAAAAGGATCTCCTCATAGGGCTCCGTACAAGGAAGAGGCGACGCATTACCAATCATATCTACCGCCTGAAGCTCGAACTTAGGCCGGCGAATGCGTCAGGAGAATGCCGTCCACTCATTAATCCAGAAAAGTCCACGCTCTCGTTGCTGACATGTCTCAGGCCGGGCGTTTGTGCGGCGGATAGTGCTTGTCCTTGTGGTGCGCCGGTCATGCTACCAAACGGATTCGCACGTCCAGGTACTTGTGCAGTAGGCGTTGAAGCTTGCATAGGCGCTGGCTGCGCTTGTTGCTGCTGCGCTTGCTGAGGAGCCTGCTGAGGCTGGTTGTATAGCGAGAGGATCGAGGCGTTCTTGTCGAAGGGATTGGAGCTTTGCTGTTGGTATAGT